TGGAGATGAAATTTGAGACGCATGCCAATCTATCTCTATCCTGATGATTTGCAGAAGAGTGATCGTAGCTTGGTGGTTGACAACAGCAGTTTCAGCACGACCCAGTGGAAATATGATGATCTGAAGGTACACAGTTTGTGCGATAGTAGGATGTTCATGCACAAACTCGTTTTTAGCCTTGAGTCAAGTTTTTACCTTACTAGCGTTCTTCGTTTTTTAGTCATGGATATGGCTGCAGAAGGCAATTCATCCCGAACTGGACTATGATCTCTGCCTCAAGAAGAAATGGGTGAGTGAAAGGAGGTGTATTCTTAATGTGCTCAGAGCCAGTTTCTTCTGTTTATCTCTGATGGGATTACATAACATGTCCCTGACAAACGTGCTGCGAATTTTTCGAGTTGCACAGAGACGATTTACATGGTCTCATCTAAACCACTCAGCTCATCTTGAGTTATTCAAGAATTTATGTGACCACGGAACTTGTTCTTCCATTGATTTTGGTAGTGGTTCCTACTTCTGGTTCTGGTGGATGGATATGAAGGTCCAGTCTGTCATGCTTTTTTTTTATCTCAGTTTGTCACGCGTTTTGATTATCATATTCGGTAAAGATAACGATTTGAATTGCATGCTATGATCAGGATCAGCTGTATGCCCGTATCTCGTTTCCAATCTCCTCTTTTGAATGATTCAAAAAAAATCTCCTCTTTTGAAATCCTTGTTAAGAAACATTAAATGGGGAGATATGCTTGAATTGGGATCAAGGAAATCGTGAGATATTTTTATTGCCATAATATATTTTGTGATAGCTTTGCCACGCCAGGCCTTAAAATTTTCTGAACTTGCGTGCAGCTCCCGCGCAAGATGGCGCCGTGGAACGGGATCTCGCTCAAGAAGTGGGTGAAGGAGCGGAAGCAGAAGCGCAAGGAGGAAGCGCGCCTGCAGCGGGCAGAGGTCCACGCCGCCGTGTCCGTGGCCGGCGTCACGGCCGCGCTCGCCGCCATCGCCGCGGAGAACGCTGCGCCGCCCCGCGCGGCCGGGATGAGGGAGACGGCGGTGGCGTCCGCGGCCGCCCTCGTCGCGGCGCAGTGCGCCAAGGTCGCCGAGGCCGCGGGTGCCTCGCGCGACCAGGTCGCGGCGGCCGTCGACTCCGCCAGGGCCTCCACGGACGCCAGCAGCGTCATCACGCTCACCGCGGCCGCCGCCACCTGTATGTCTCGTTCACAGTTCGTTTGGCATATACATAATCCCTGACACGGAGTACTTATTTGGCTGTCTGCCATGTCACAGCACTGCGTGGCGCTGCGACGCTGAGAGGACGGCGCAGCGCCAGCGGCGGCGGGCACGGCCAACACGAGAGGGCGGAGCACTCGGGGTCGTCGCTGTCGCAGGACGACCTTGACTTCGACTTCAACCACGCGAGGTCCAGGGCGGCGCTGGCCAAGGGCGACGAGATGTTCGTCGCGATGCCGGACGGTGAGTGCCGGCCGCCGCGTTGTCGATGATGCAACAACCTGCTGCACGTCGCTTTGCATGCGAAACTGAACAGTTCTCTTTGCACGTCGCGTCGCAGGGAAGTGGAAGCTCCACACGGTGTCGGCGGCGTCGAACAAGCGCGGTGAGATCGTGCTGCGGATCAAGAAGACGAACCTCGTCATAGCCTTCTCCCACGCAAAAGAAAGTAAGGAACCGGCAACGCCCGGCGCGATCGTCTCGTTTCTTCCCTGTCTCCTCTTGTTTTCTTCCTCGGACAAACTGAACTGACCCAGCAGCCACCTGCTCACGCACCCGCAGGCGTGATCCGCGACGTGCGGCCGTGCGCCCCGGAGAAGCCGAGCCACGACGAGGGCGCGACATACCCGGTGGAGGTCTCCACGAACAAGGGCAAGGTGGAGCTCCGCGCGGATGACTACGGCGTGTACAAGCGGTGGGTCGCGACGCTGAGCCACATGCTCGTGATGTCCACCGCCGTCTCCGTCTCCACCAGGCACGACCCGCCGCGGCCGGCGCGCCGGGACTGACCCACCGGTGCCGCCCCACGGTCGAGGCAACGGCCCCACCCAATATGACGTGAACGACGTCGATGATCGATCCGTGTCGATCGCATGTGTATTAGTATTACCCATGAACTGTATTGAGTACCAGTATCAGCATTGCAACCAAAGATTCAAAGACTGTCACGGTTTGTTTGACTGAAATTCTTTGTGTTCGCATCGTTTTCCTCACTTCTTTCTAGATGGTATTTTCGTGAAAGAAGATAGCGGTATATCACAAGATCGATGCCGACGGGGCAAGGAGACATCTCGATCAGTCCGTGGTCCTGCGCGTCGCAGGAATGAGCAGGTGAGATGCCCATGGCGGCGATGCTTTTGAGCCTTCATGCATCATGCGCTGTCAAATACGTACTGCAGAGTGTAGACAAAAGGAAAAAGTCACGTTCGCGAGAGTTTCGCTTTTCCTCTCCAAACTCTAAAACTATGCAAAACACCTTCCTCAACTTTTAAAACCGTTTATCTTACCTCCCTGGTCCTGTTATAATCAGTTTTGAAAGCGGTTTTGTCTTTTTTTTATTTATTTATTTCAGCTGAATCTTTAAAAAATCATAGCAAATCACAGAAAAGATCATAAAATGGAAAATTTCAATTTTGTTGAACTCCACATGAGTAGATCTACATAATAGACATATAATATTGTATGCTTTCGTACAAAGTTTTTGTTGTGGCTTTAGATCTATGCTTTTATGTAATTAATTAGAATAATTTAAAGCTGCAGTTTCTATGATCCAATTGTGATGAAATTTTTATGGTGTGCTAATTATTGTATGATTGAACTGTAGTAAAAATTTAATACTCATTCCATGTATAGCTTAGTTATAGATTTATTTATATTTAACAAGCATAATCCTAAATAAAATCTATAACTAAGTTATACATGATCCAATGAGTATAAAATTTTTACTACAGTTTAAGCATACAATAATTAGCCCACCATAAAAATTTCACCATAATTGGACCATAGAAACTGCAGCTATGAATTATTTCATTTAATTACATAAAAGCATAGATCTAAAGCCATAGAAAAACATTGTATTAAAGCATACCATATTATATATTCACTCTGTAGATATACTCATGTGGAGTCCAACAAAATTAGATTTTATATTTTATGATTTTTCTATGATTTTTCAAAGATTCAACCAAAATAAATAAAAAAGAAAAAAGACAAAACCGCCTTCAAAACCGCTTATAATAGGGTCAGGGAGGTAAGATGAACGGTTTTAAAAATTGAGGGAGGTGTTTTGCCCGGTTTTGTAGTTTGGGGAGAAAAGCGCGAACTTTCACGAAAGTTGAGAGAGATAATGTTGACTTTTTCCTAGACAAAATATGGCTTATATTGGGTCAGCTTTGGCCCACAAAGGAGCTAGCATGAATAGTCACCACATCTAGGAGCAGTCATGGCCCAAGGCCGAGCACGAACGCAGCTCGTACACATGAGCGATCTTTTAAAATATTTTTCCAATCTTTTTCTAGCAAGATTAATTGCCCCAATAAAAAAATTATCATAAATGTACTCATATTGCCAATTGCAGGGATTTGCCTCATCTCCAATTCAATAGGTGATTTTCCCCCTTTACATGCAGCGTATTTTGAAAAAAAAATAACCTTTCAGTATGAATAAACTTTTAAATTTTGAAGCCATATTGGCACCAGAATAATCAGTACAATGTTCTAATCAACAAATACATATCTGAAGATTGGATTAGTTATTTTGGTATCGAGATGGCTTAAAACAAAAAAGAGTATTATAACTATAGAGCTGCAATCTCATCAAGATTTGTAGTTTTATTATAAATTTATATATATTTATATGAGGTCATATGAAAAATTAAACATATTTTGGAGATGTGTTAATGTTAGGCGCGGAATAACTGTGGGCTATTTTTCACTCCGCTATAACATAAGCCTAAATAAGAAAAATATAGTGCTAGTTTTGAGAAAATATAAACATATAATTGCTCATGAGCTTTACGAGTAGTCAAGTACGGTTATCAAGCCCAACCGGCATCAACAAGCAAAGCTCTCTCCATCAGATAGCAACATATCAAGCTTGTCTTAAATTTGAAGCTTAGGCATTTTTTACAAGCAAAGATTTTTCTCATCAACATTCAGCGAATAAAGTTCAGACGATGGATTTTAATGGATTTTATGATTGGGTGCATTAGTCAAAACACCTCAAATATTGAAAAATCCCTCAAAACTCAAAAGCACACTCGATACTATACACGATTTTCAAAGACTATGAAACGTCGCACAAGTGTAGATGCATCCATGCTACACGAGCGCAAAATCTGTATTTCAAACTCAAAAAATATAAAACATATATATATATATATATATATATATATATATAATAAAAACATAAAGACAAATTCCGTACGCAATATCACCGCATCACAAATTATCACACCACATGTCAGGTTGGTAGGTAAATGACTACTGCATAGATCACAGCTGGTCATCACCATCCCTGTCCCGGCAGTTTCAGCACAACTCAACTCGACCCCGTATCATTCTATCCTCTGCATTCTGGAATACTGCATTGGAGAGGCATTAAGAGTCGCTGACCAATGACGGCCAGCGACTCTTAATGCCTCCACATTACCATACTAACAGATCATCACAACACCATAGTTACGAAAACAATAAGTGCTTTAGCAGAAACCATCCATTGCAGATAGTCAACAAAATAGGATCAGCAAGGTAGATCATCATGACCGAAATTCAAGAGGCCATGTCCTAACTTTGCAACCTCACAAAACAAAAGTGGGTTCTTTTGATTTTTCCCCATCCTTCCTGATTTCAAGTCACTGGATAAGAATTTATTATGACACAAACCTAAGGTAACTTGCAGGTGTGTTACAGACAAGGTCCACAAATCATAAACCAAATTGCACGTATGGAGAAAAGGGTGCAATGCCAATTTATAAGATCCTTCCATAGGAATTAACATGTAGCAGCCCTGTTGTCCTTAGTGATGAGCATGTGCTTCCTCCTTTTAGGTTTTGTTGCCTGAAAGAGAAAGTGCAACATCAGAAAATTGAATTGAACTATTCAGTAAACAATATGATATTTCATAGGGAATGAAGCAAACATAATCTTTCACAACCACAAGCTTATCTGTAACCAGGCCCCAAGTTAAAACAACACCAAAACAAGCTCACTAAATAATATAGGTTTCATAAGCTTGCATAGGAAAGTCAACAGTAGCGGCATCTACTGAAGATAACAAATTCAATCAAATCCTTAGGTAGTAAAGATCGCAGCGCTAAATTTAAAGGTAAGAGCAACCAGCACAAAGCTATCAGTGAACCATGGATCAAGGAAATCAACGAATGCATATGTCAACCAGTTCAAAAGGATCACTACAAAGATCTACACAATGCTTGAAATTATGAAGAACCAGCACAGCCATCTATCGGTGAAGAGGGGTGAAAGGATAATTGACCAATCAAAGCTTTTAACAGGAGACCATTAACATCACCTAAATTATCCTTCTACTTTGCACGAATAATCTGGAAAACATAGACGCCAACAGTTTCATATATCAAAAGACTATTATGACCAAAACAAAACAGACCATCATCATTTGTCATCTAGAATAAAGTATGACTTGCTTTTTATAAATTCAATATTTATATACCCCAGAATTCCATTAGATAAAAGAATTCAGTTACCACTTACCAGAGTTTTCACCAATCACAACAAAAGAGGAAGCTATAACATAAAATTAAGCCCATGCATTCAGTGTGCCTACTGTTTCAAGGGCTACCAGACAAATACAGCAAAATTTGAACCCATAACTAGCAGAGGATATGTACTCATCAGAAAAGAATGACTTTCTTACAATATCAACACAAGAAGCAGCATTGTACCTAGACAATGGATTTAAATTGATGCATGTTGTAGGTGAAACTACAATCTAAGATACCTCAGTAGAATAGAGTTCCATGCATAGTACTCCCAAAGGGAGTGTGTATTCATAATAAATATCTATAACTCAATACAGTACATCAAGCTCAGAGAAAATACATGCATCATCAGGCAACCCAGAATCCAGACCTATAGGTTATGGGGTCTACCAGTATGTACCAGGCCAAACCAAAACATGCGTATGCTTTTCAGTTTGGGATATTAAATCAACATGTTTTAGAACTACTAAGCCACACATAAATCTAGTCCTGCTCAACAAAGTTCAAGCACGATATAAAGCCCATAACATGCAAGAGAACCAAACTGCATGAGCAATTAACGTTGTCTCTAATGACAAATCAATGCTGAACAGTTGCAGAACCAACAGAATGATTATATCAATTCTATAAGAAACTACAATTATGCCCGCATTAATTAAGAACCTCAAGTTGGTTAATTATGTCCGCATTAGTTAAAAACCACATCAGTTAACAACATTGAAATGTTAGAAGTGCGACTCTATCTAATAAATTCCAAAAATGCTTTTGGGAAACTTCCAGAATGTGACAACTCATGAGCAAATATATAGAAATACAACTCATCTTCAGGGAAGAAGAATATCATGTGTAGTGCCCACAAACATTCAGAGGAAACAAACCAGGTCAAAATAGTTTGTCGCAGTCATAAACTAACAAACAGCTATACAACAGCCTTATAACTGGTTCATGAAACTAAGCTATTCTAAAAAAAACTATTTCCACGATGCCAAGCATCAGCTCGTTGTTAATTTGAACTCAAGGATTAATACCACCATTAAGATACCCTTCAGTCTATGACTATCCTGACGAGTGAGGCTCGAAACCGTTCCACTAAGGGCATCAACATAGGTAAAGGTTAATTTCACCCAGAATAACAGTTCGGCATTCCATCAAATCCTCACATCATATCTCCTTAGCCGATTCTTGAACCATGCTAAAGCGTTGCGGGAATCAAACCATCTATAACCCCTCCGCTACCAGATCGAGCAAATTCACAAGCCTAAGGCTGAGCCAATTCAGAAGACTAAGATCGAGCCAATTCAGAAGACTAGACGTACCTTGAGGATTGAGAGCTTGATGCTCCCGTAGACGACACCGACGCCGAAGGCGGACGCCCTCGCCACCTGCAGAAACAACACGAGGATGCGCGATGAGGGATTCAGATGCGATCCGGAAGCAACCAGTACAGAATCTTCTGGAAGGACAGGGACTTACAAGGGCGAGGGTGCTGACGCCAGAGTAGGGGCCCGGAGTGAACGGCATGACGGCGGCGGCGCGGGGCAGCTGGATCTGAGTCGGCGAGGGTTTGGAGGAATTGGGAGAGGCGAGGGCTTGCGTCGTCTTTGTCGCAGGGGGCAGGGGAGAAGAGGAGGTGGTGGTGGGCTGGGCCTTATATGGGCCATTGACGAGATCGGGGGGGGGGGGGGTGATGTGGGCAGTTCTGCAACCGGTGGAGTTGTGCTGGTAAGCGGGACCCGCGTGTCATTGAGGAGCGGTCGAGGAAGGATGAGCTAGAGTTATTACCAGCACAAGGATTGAGTTGCACATAGGCCTTCTTTGACGGGGTCTGCGCTTCTCAAAAAATATAGAACCAAAAAAAAACTACGTTTTGGTGGCTTCAGTTTCTGACCCAGAACAGCTTTGACTTCAAAATATTTGACTTAATTTTGGTTTCAAAAGACGTTCTTATATTTACTCGTTTGGTAGAGTTTTTAATTAAGCATGTAGAAAAAGCCCCGATAAAAAACCATGCCAAAGAGGGTCATAGTTTTGACCGGCAAAGGCACCGCTTGTGGCTCAGTTCAATTAGATGGACGATTCATAGCTTGGAGATTGTGTCATCTATTCTAATATATTTTGGAATTGAAATTCGTCCATTGTTGGATGCATCCTAAAATTAGACTCCGTGCCATCTAGCAAATGTGCTATGTGCCCGTATTTACACCTTCCTGCGCGATCACTTGGACGATATGCGGTTCACAGATTTATTCGTTGTCTATGTTATTTATTCAATACATCTTGAAACTAGACTTTGTATTATCGTTGAACGTGCGTAATTCTAACTCTTATAACTCGTATGAGTAGATGTCATGAGTCTGAATCACCTATATGCTATAGGACAGGGGGAGGTATGAGGAAATTGTAGGAGGTAAAAATAAGACGATTGAATGAAGAATACTCTTTCGACTTTAATGTTACTAGCAAACGTGCTCGCGCGTTGCAACGTAACCCAATACGTTTTGTAATTATACTTCATATTATTGTTGGACACGAGTTGTTATAACTCATATGAGCATGAATAGTTAGTGTAGATCACACATGAGACACGGAGGGCGGAAGGACATGGTTATAGTATTGAGTTTGGATTAGGTTTATGACATGTGGAGGATGGACCTAAGGTGAGTTTCTAGAAGCAATACAAGAAGAAAGTTTGCCTCTTTAATGTTGATATAAATGAACCGGCAAAACATGTATGAATTTAGTCTATGTCCAGTCCAACTGGTGTGTGTGGGGGCGGGGTGCGTAGAAAGCAAAGGGGACCAAGGTGATAAAAGGCCACGAATAAGAAAAGGAGGCAAACCATGCATGGTGTATGGGAGTTATCCATCTAGCGAGATGTTTTGGGTTCGATTCTACTCCCTCCATTCTAAATCACAAGTCGTTTTGATTTTTTTGAAAATCTATGTAGCAAAAAAGTTAAAACAACTTATAATTTGGAATAGAGGAAGTATGTTGTACATTGAGTTTTACTTATTTTTTTTGACATGGACAGATGGACACAAACACGTTTTTTGTTTGAGGGGCACACAAAGGGACGACGGACGAAGAAAGAAGCAGACAGACGAAAAGAACATATGGAACAATAAATTTTTGCTTGTTAATATTAGGTATTGAGACAGATATATGTTTTTTTTGAATCAGCACATATATATGTTAGGTGTATATAGTCTCTTATTAATTTGTTCTAAAAACAAACAGTGATAAAAAACCATCAAACCGCAAGAGCATCTCTAAGAGTTTGGTACAATTTACATGCTAAACTTATAGATATAGCAAGTTAACCGAAAAATAGCAACTCAAAACTTTGTTCTTCTCCAACAGTTTATAATAGCTTTCTAAACGATTCTGTATTAGGAACCTAAACTATTTCTAAGTCAAGTATTTTTAATAGTTTTTTTGTCCCTTACCGCCTTTCATCTGGATCCTTTATTTTTAAAATTACACATGTGTCCAATTTACTATGACCTACTGAGAAAAACATCGGATAGGGAATGGATACGGAGGACATTTTACCAAACTATTGGAGGACATTTTTTCTCTTTTTACTAAAATATATAAAAATATGAAAGTTCTTTTTACAAAACTCTTAGAGTGGCTCTAAAGGGCTAGCTCAACTTCAGTTTCAGCATATTCTAATATTAGACTCGTCTCGGCCCAAATAAGCATTTCGCCTGAAACCCTACCTGCTCTCAATCCCATCGGTCTCTCTTCCCTCTTCGCCTCTCAAATCAGCCACCGTCCCTTTTTTTTTACTCTATCTACTTAAAAGGAGGTTTGCTCCAAAATTGTCTCTCTCCGTATCTTACTTTGCCTCTGTGTTGTTGACTTCTTGCGCTGTCCACTATGGGCATGTTTAGTTCCTTCGTTGGCTATGCTTGCCTGGTCTTGCCCAGCAAGACCAGCCTTGCTAGGGTGGGTGAGCCAATCTGGCTCTCCAGCAGCCGCACCAAAAAACCTTGCCTGCATGAACACAGAGACAAACACACCAGGGAACGAAACACTTACTGCCCTTGGGACAACACCACATTTCAAAAAAAAAGATTTACCATGGAGCAGCTCCATCAGTGGATATGAGATCCAACATAAAACCATTTATGTAAAACTAGTGGATATGAGATCCAGCAGAAAACCATTTATATAAAATGAATCTGTATCTTAAATTCACCGTGGAGCAGCTCCACCAGTGGATATGAGATCCAGCAGGAAACCGTCTGTGTAAGACAATAGTTCTAGATCCACCGAAGGGCATCTTGATTAGAATTGTCAGATTTACCATTGGGATAGGTACTACTTGTCAGTGTCTAAAAAAATCTTTTCACGGTCTTCTTCCTCCTCCAGACGGCTCGACAGGCCGTGGGGCGGTCGGCGGCTAGGGAGGACATGGTGGAGAGGGGCGGGCGCAGCGGTCGGAGGCGGCTAGGGCTGGGATCGGCCAGACACGGGCCCGAGGTGGACCCCGACAAGCTCGCGCGGCCTCGCCGGAGGCGGACGCAGGCGGGCACGCACGACCTCGCCGGATGCGCGGACGCGCGGCCTCGCCAGACGCGGCCAGGCCCGCAGCCCCCACGGGCATGGCCACGGCGTGATGAGATCCACTCAAAATTTCTTGTCTTCCTCGGCAGGCTCTTCCTCTGCGCCCTCACCACCGTCTTCTCCGTGGATAGCAGCCTCGCCAGTGGTGGGTGCGGCCTCGCAAGGCCTCGTCGGTGGCGGGCGCGGCAAAACCGGTGACGCGCGCGGCATCGCCGGTGTCGAGAGCAGCCTCGCCGTGGGGAGGGAAGGGTCTGGTCGGCGACAGGAAAGGGAAATAAAATATTAGAACGACCGTTATCATGTAACAGTGACAGTGGTGGTTAATTTTTTTTTAGCTCCATCAATTTTGGTTTGGTGGAGCATCTCTTAAGAAGATATAACAAAATGGTGAATCTTGCCCTCATATTTATTCAGCGCGTCCTCTCATTGTTTTCATTGTTTGTTTTTTATTCTCTCTCACAAAACTATTCTTTGGATTTGGTGGAGTTAGAGTGTTTGGTTAATTTTTTGTAGAATAAAACTGTTTTTGGTAGAGGTAGAGCTGGTGGAGCTGCCCAAAACATACCTGATCCAACTCGATTTCTGACAAGCAAGCCAAGGCGAGATCTCTAATGGAAACCTACCGTACAAGATAATGATAAACAGGTAAACATGGGCCCAAAATGGACCATCATTAAGAATGCAGCCCACAAATCGAATCGTGTTAAGATTACACTCGGTTGATCTCAGCCGTGATGGAGGTGGCGAACAATCGGAAGAGGAAGAAACGCAATCAAGTTTGAACTTGCTCAACAATGCCTGGCTAGCTGTAGATGTGGTTATGTGGCTAAGTTCTTATTCCTGGTTCTGAGCCACGTGCCGGCATTTCGGATAACATGAGGGCTGGAAGCCTGGAACGTGCATCTGGTGCCGTTTATTAGGGATAATATTCCTTTCCTCTCTGTTATCTGGAACACCGGCTGAGTTCACTGGATTGACATTATCTAATTATATGTCAGTTAAGCATGTGAACACAGGTGACGATGCATGGCTGTCATGATTCTCTTTATAAGTTTTATTATCTGCACATAATTAAGTCAACACTGATGATCAAAAGATATTCTGCTTAATTAATGATTGTAGTAGGCACGCATACTCAGTATTTCCTCTAAAAAATTACAAACACCAACATAATGTGAATGCCTTGGCCAACTAGCTGGTTAATTAACAAGAAACTACATGTATCTCACACACATATTGTCTACTAATTTATCTTAGGGCAGTCCTAATAATATATTTATGGTAGTTTTTATCTTTATTAATTAGTAAGCAGATTGCTGATGTGACAGCAAATTTACTGAAGAGAGAGAATGGAAAACAGAGAAACCATTTCTCATAGAGGCACGTTTGCCGATGCTCGAGGAAACGAGCGGAACTGCGTTGGGGAGAAACCGGTGGTTTCCATCCTTCTCCGCTCGGATCTCCTGCTCCGCTCCGCTCGCATCTTCCCTGCGCGCCGCCAAAACTATCCTACGCGCTCCCGCATCCCTCCGGCCCTCCCCATCTTTCTGGCCGCGCGCTCGCGTCCTTCTCACGCAGCGGAGGCCGTGGTGCGGATGGACGCCGCACGCTACCGTCCGAAGAGGAGGTGCTGCTGCAGCAGCGGCAGGGCACCAAGCATCAGCGACTCCATGGTTTGAGGTGGTCTCGATCTTTTTCCTGCCAATCCCTTTGTTCTGCTATCTCGTCAACAAGTGGACGTTCCAATCGACGGGCAGTGGAACCAGCTTCGTAACAAAGCCAGTTTGATTGTTTTTTCTTGTTGCGTGTTGCATCAGATTAATGCACGACGTGATCTGCTCGATAACTAGATACCTGTTTGTGCTCGACCTCCGAGACGTGAATCTGAATTAGTATTGGAGATCGATCTGTCGCTGTGCGTGTGCTACATATATTCTCAGTACAGCTGATCAAGCTCTCTTTATGAAACATGCGTGAAGTCATTAATTTTTTTAAAATTTAGAAACTACCGAGGAAACTATGCATTGGAAGAATTAGAGTCTATAGTATAATTTATTGTTCTTGAAAACTACTCTAGAAACCTTCCATTGGGACTGCCCTTAAAGTGTGGGGTGGCGGCTCCTTGGCTGCATTTCTGCGCCTACTACCACTCTGATGAGTTGCGCTCCGGAAGGCAAGCAAAATTACGAGCAGACTCGCAGCGCAACGGACTGTCCAAGGGACAGGGCTTCGCTAGGAAGAGGATGATCACTCTACTGGTGGGAGTGGGACTGGGAAATTTATGATTTAGTCCAAGTTTACTCTTTTTAGTTTTTACTGAACTCAAGGAATTTGGAATCCAGGCCCATTGGAAAATGTTTCCAATACAACCCATTCGTGTAACTGTGTTACACCTCCAGGTGATACTACTATCCTACCCCCTCTATTTCATAAGTGAACCACCACGCCCAAGAGAGATCGATCGAGTGCCCTGCTCTGCCTACTGCCTACTCACACGATGAAAAATGAGGAACTTACTTTTTGGCAGGCCATGGCTAATTGGCTAGTGCAAGCGGAGCAATTTGTATAGAATGGACGAAGGTTCTCGCCCAGGAGCAGGCGTACACATTCCTCTCTCCGAGTAGTTGCAAGTCAGCGCCGGCTGTGCCTCCCCCGGCGGCCACTTCCTCGTCACCGCCACCGCCAACACCGCACGAGACTACGGGAGCGAGGATAATGAAATCAACGTGGTCGTGCCACGCATAATGGCCTTGCCCCGCTGTGCACATGAGAAACAGTGAGGCGGAACCACCAGATCAGAATACAAAATCAACACCAACATGGCCAAAATAATAGCCAACATTCCGATGCCCGCGATGAGCGGAGCACTGCACGTTAGAGGTTTTTCGACAAGAGAAACAGGACACAAGTGAAGTCAGGCAGTACTCGCCGCCTGCAGCTATAAGTACAGGCTCGCCGCAGCACGCTAGCTAACACACCAGTATCTGTAGCAGTGTCACTGCCCAGAAGCCTCTACTATATCATCTCTCGTCTCGTAGCCATGAGGCTAGGATTATTGCACCACCTCGTTCTTGCCTTACTCCTCGCCTATGCCGCCGGCGGCATTGTGCCGGCGAGCGCCGGCGGGAGCTGGGAGCTCCTGCAGAGCAGCGTCGGCGTGTCGGGGATGCACATGCAGCTCCTGCACAACGACCGCCTGATCCTCTTCGACCGCACCAACTTTGGGCCGTCCAACCTGACCTTCCCGCCCGGGCACCCGTGCCGCGTCAACCCGCAGGACGTCGCGCTCCCCAGGGGCGACTGCACCGCGCACTCCGTCGAGTACAGCGTCGCGTCCAACACGTTCCGCGCGCTCTCCATCTTCACCGACACCTGGTGCTCGTCGGGCCACGTCGCGCCGGACGGCACCCTCGTCCAGAACGGCGGGTGGCAGGACGGGACCCGCAAGGTGCGCGTCATGCCCGCGTGCAGCGACGGCGCCACCACCTGCGACTGGACGGAGAAGTCAAGCCCGGACCCGGAGGTGCTCGCCGTGGGTCGGTGGTACGCCACCAACCAGAAACTCCCCGACGGCCGCGCGATCGTCGTCGGTGGGCTGAACCAGTTCAACTACGAGTTCCTACCCAAGTCGGCAGGCCCGCCTGGTGTCTTCGCGCTGCCGTTTCTGTCCCAGACTAACAGCCTGTACCCGTTCGTGCACCTCAACATAGATGGCAACCTCTTCATCTTCGCCAAGAACCGCGCCGTCCTGTTCGACTACAAGAGCGGCACCGTCGTCCGGAGCTACGCCATGCTCGGCGACGGCACCGAGCTGAGGAGCAACCCGAACGCGGGATCGTCGGTGCTGCTGCCCCTGAAGCCCAACCCCACCGAGGCCGAGGTCCTGATCTGCGGCGGGACGCCAGCCCGCGCCGTGGGGAGGTTCCCGCCGGCGCTCAAGACGTGCGGGCGGCTCAAGATCACGGACGCTAACCCGTCGTGGGTCATCGAGGAGATGCCGTCGCCGCGGGTGATGGGGGACATGATCCTGCTGCCCAACGGCGAGGTGGCCATTATCAACGGCGCCACGGACGGGCTCGGCGGGTGGGAGGCGGCCAACACGCCGTCCACGGCGCCCGTCATCTACCGCCCGGACCTCCCTTTCGTGACCCCGACCGGTCGGTTCGAGGCGCAGACGCCGACGGGCACCCCGCGGCCGCGGATGTACCACTCGTCGGCGGTGCTCCTCCGCGATGGCCGCGTGCTCGTGGGCGGCAGCAACCCGCACCACTACTACAACTTCACCAACGTCAAGTTCCCCACCGACCTGAGCCTTGAGGCCTTCTCGCCGTACTACCTCGACGTCTCCAAGGACCTCCGTCCGTTCATGGTCGACCCGTCGCCCAAAGGCAGGCCGACAACTGTGACGTACGGGGGTTCTCTGGACCTGCTGTGCAGGATCCCCGACCGCTCCGTGGTGTCGGTCACAATGGTCGCGCCGTCGTTCACGACGCACTCGTTCGCCCAGAACCAGCGGCAGCTGTTCCTCCAGGTGCAGGTGAGCAAGGCACAGCTCGAGGCACCACCCGGCGTACGGGTGCCGGACGACGCCTACGTGGCTTCCGTGACGATGCCGGCGACGCCGGTGTTGGCACCACCGGGTTACTACATGCTGTTCGTCGTCAATGGGCGCATTCCCAGCGAGGGGATCTGGGTACACATACAGTGACAGCTTGGGGATCACCGAATGATGTTTTTTTCCCTTTCCATTCCATTCGTTGGCGACGATCTAATTATATCCGATCTTTGAATTGGTACTTGAGCCGTAGGATAATGGCTGTACGGGCATTTCTTTCTTGGTCCTTATGTATATCATGTAATGTAATCACTTGAAAAATAAGCTAAAATATTGTTCCGGCTGGATTGTTGTGAGAGAAAATACTGTTCTAGCCGGAAGACACTGTTTATGTGAATAATGCCCGGCGTGAGTGGGCTGGCCAGCCCCAGCCCAGCCGAACACGCCCCAAATGAGATGCTTTCGTTCAAAAGAAATTTAATGAAAAGCTTGGTAACGTTGTACTATTTAGGAGCACTATATATTTTGTTCACCAGCATATATTAACTAAACTTCATTTTCACATGGCGCCGGACCAACTCAGGACTTTCTGAACTCAAATTTTGTTCAAAAGTACGCTGGCGGTCTTTCAACTTGTTAAGCTGTGTTAATCTGGTTCTCAAACTATCAAATCGCATGTTTACCTCCCTAATGTTTGGGTTTACTCAATTTTGATAGTTTGGGGACCGGATTGACACAACTTAACAAGTTTAAGGACCGCTAGCAAACTTTACTCAATTTAATAGCAAATCGGTCCACCTCTTGCAGCGTGTAGGTGAGTGTTTGGCTTGGGAATCAATTCATTATCGATTCAATGCGGTGACGTATCGTGAGTTCATTCCTTAAATTTCGTGAAATGATTCAATTTCTCGTACTAGTACTAATTATTAGCTTGTGATAATTATGACTGCATAATTATATGGCAACACCGAATGATAATTATATCATGAACCATATTAAAAGCATAAATGGCAGATATTCAACAGCCAGCAAATCCCTTCGCAGTACCAATCTTCACGAGCCACTCGATAACCAATCTAATCCAGTCTGGCCTTTTCGATGGGTTGGGCCTTTAGGGAGCTTGGCCTTTGGGTGGGTTGAGCCGACATCGTCCACAAGGTGAGAAGGCCTATATAACAAGGGTGTGCCTTCGAAAAGGCCCACATATGTGAACTAGACTAATCCAGTTTGGGGTTACCTTTTGTCTCTCCTTTTCTTGGGAAAAAAGGAGGGTTTTATCTGCCAAAATGAAGTGTTGAACAAACCATGCCATTGAAGCACATAACCAGCAATGCCTTTGCCTTTTTTCTGATCTTGGTGACTTAGCGATGGAAGATAATCACTTTGTGAGGACTGAAGAACGAGGAGCAATCGTGCCTCGTGCGGCCAACTATACCTTGCCCTGTTCGTTTTGCTAAAAATTGATTTATATTGATTTGTTGTGAGAGAAAAACGTTGTTCGTTCATTGAAAAGTAGTGCTGCAAAATAGAGCGTTGTTGGTCGAGCCAAAACCAAGAGATTCTACTCTATATTTGTCCTTTGGATAGTCATCCCACAGACCCACTAACCCACTCACAAACGATTCCTTGGTGAAAATTCTAACGACGTGATTCGCGCTCTCCTCGTGAGCTCAGGATGCAGAAATAATGGCTCTCTCAGAGCTCTAGCTGCTATGAGAGCTCTAGCTGCTAGGCTAAAGAATTGCTGCAGATGCTTTCGTATCGTTGCTGGTTCGTGAAGAAGTACTGCTAGCTGGTTTATGTGAAAGAAAAATAGTGTCCGGGTCGAAAATTTACGATGCCGCATCCAAACGAACATGTTGGTGTCCGTCTGAATTTTTTGATGTGGTGTCAGATAATCTGTCTGGAGGCTGAAACGTGGAAAGCGACTAGCGCAGTTTCTCCAAGAGCCCCGCTCACCAAGCAGCATGTCCACTGCAGGGGACTGCAAGAACAGCGCCGCCCTCCCGTGTCCCTCACTCTCTGCATCTCTCTCGTCGACACAGCGGCCGACCACCGCACGTCTGAAGGATGGGGCGCGTTTAGTTCGGCAAAGTTTGTACGTACAGTGTACGATTCTTTACTGTAGTATTTCGTTTGTATCTGTGAATTATTGTCCAAACATTGACTAATTAGGCTTAAAAGATTCGTCTCGCAAAGTTAAAGCAAACTGTGCAATTAGTTTTTAATTTCATCTACATTTAGTACTCTATGCATGTACCGTAAATTTAATGTGACGGAAAATCTTCTTTTTACATAGTGCACTTTTGGAGATCTAAACAGGGCATGGATGCATGCATTCCAGGCCGCCGTGTGGTTGAGCCATCACCATCAGAGTCTAAATCCTGCGCCCAAATCAGAATCTGCAGGTGCTCACGTCGGCATACGATATGCTCCCGATACACGCCGAATCCCGCGTGCGAAAGCGACGGCGCCCGAGTAACCTCTCCATCTTTCAGAGACGACGGATCGGTCTCCGAGGAGCCAATTGGACCCTCTGCTTCACGATAAGCTCGCCTCACCTGTGACCGTGAGCGGTGAGCCTGTGAACTACCGGGAAGAAAACATGCCCGATCTTACGCATTCTTGTCATAAATCCAGCATGTATTTGTAAGTATTTGTACTGTACTATACTAGGACAAATCAAAATGGAAATTGCGTGTACACTTCGCCATCCGAGAACGAAAATAATTGACCAACTTGTTCCCAAGTGGACAAAAACAGGCGGACCAGGACCACCATCAGGGACAGAAGTGTAGTGACGTGACACTGAAACATCAGGAGCTGGTCACCTGTTCGTTTGGCTGGCGAGAGGACCGGGTAGATATTCTCAAGTAATAAATAGTAAACTACTATAGTAGAATTAACAAACAATTAGGGTTTCTTGCCTGGCTTAGCATGCTCGCTAATCCCGTCAAAGCTCCACCTAACCCCGCGTTGCAATTTACTGTGGATCCTTGTATCTTTTGATCTTTTTAGCGTCCATGCGTTCTTGTATTCATCTGCAGCCGAGGCCAGAAATCTCAACTTTTCAAGAAATGCAAGTGCTAGGGGGCCTGAACTCTGAAGAAACGGACAGAGAAACCTGCATCCCCGGGCGGCGAAAAGCAAGAGGATCGGGACAAAGCCAAGTGGTGAGAGGAATCATGGACCAGATCGCTGAAAATCGTTCGGTTTGTTTGAGTTATAAGTCATAATTTTTCAGCTAATAAATAGTATTTTTTTCAATAAATTAGCTAATAGTACTTTTAGTTATGACTGATTAGCCAAACGAACGGAACAATGGATCATCAGGCTATCTGTCTGCTGCTGTGCTGCGTCCACCGCTTCCTTGCCGCTGCCCGGCCCCCGTATGAACACAGTTGACGCCTTTTCAAAAAAAAAAAAAAAAAAGTTGACGGCGTCGAGTTCCGCGGCGGCCCGGGGGACGGGAAGAAAGATGGCGTTTTCTCTGGATCTGCGCGGGAGCCGGCAGGGATGCGAATTGGAGTACAGTACGTGGGATCCCGCGCGGTCCCGCCTCCGCATAAAATCGTGTGGTTTCTGGCCAGCACAGCACACCGCCGATGCGTTCCCTTCCCGCGCGGATCAGCAGCCTTGGCTGTCTGTAAGCCACGTGTGCTGATCTATATAGCTAATTCTTTTCTAATAAATTAGCTGTACAAATTAGTACTTACGTCATGATACAATATTTTTCTCTCTCAACAAATTAGCTGTACAAATCAACACAGGCGGCTTATGGCCACCGTTGTGTGAGACAATGTCCGCCGTGAGTATTATTGTGTGAGACGATCAGTCTGTTCGCTGGTTGGTTTCTGGACTAATAAGCCCAGTGAATACTGGTTTGTTGTGAGAAAAAAATACTATACCATGACTGATAAGCCCTGATTAAAATCAACAAGCGAACAAACTGAATGCCCGCCATCTGCGTCTATGGCCACTGTTGCAGTGCAGCAAAGGTGAAAAGAACATATATACCTGGGAAGAGGAAATAAAAAGGAAGCAAATAGAAAAGAAAAAAGAAAAGAACAAAAGAGAAGAGTATTTATGGACTTTTTATTATCCTTTTGATCTACCTGCGGAGATGTTTTTTTACCAAAGGTTCAGTTTCTTTTTTTTTTATAAAAGGTTCATTTTCAACTCCACCGATGAAGCTACTTCATCACATCATAGTGTACCAAATGGACCTAATCTGAGCAAAAGTGAGTTTGAAAAGACGTGGGATTGCGTGGACATCTCCTTTTTCGCTTTTCTCTTCACCGACGTCAGAAGTGATGTTGCGGCGGTGCGCCGTGCAGTGCGACCATGTGCATATGGTGGTGGTCGTCTTTGCGAATGAAGGAAGGCGCGAGACACAACTCCCGCGATATCCGTGGAAATTTTCATGCTCTTTGCAGTGGGTTGGGTCTGGGTAGGATGAAAACCGTAACAAAAAATCTTTTCTGAATTTTCTATGTAAAGGTGGTAGTGTTTTTGACTTATCGTATATAAATTTGGATTTTTGTAATTTCTTTTGGTATCACATTGTATTTGCCGTTGAATGAATAGTTAAATTCTAAAATCGATAAACATATACTTCATCCGTCCCCAAAAAGTATCATTATAATTTTCTAAGAAATTAAATATTTTTAACTCTAACCAAATATATAAGAAACTATTCATGATTATGGTGCATAATTAGTATACCTTGAATATGTTTTTAAAACAAAACTTATTTGAAGATACAAATATTGCTAATATTTTATATAACTATAATTAAACTTAAGAAAGTTTGATCGGTACGAATCCTGTAGTGACACCTTTTTTGGATGGAGGAAGTAGATGATATCGTCACTGATTGTTTCATGCTTAGGCCATCCCAGGTAGCATTAGATTTCAAGTCGGCTCGGTCTTGTTCGTTAGGATAATAAATTAGTTTAGCTTGACCTTTTTTTTCCCTAAAGAGCTAAAAATCTAGCTTTGGCTTGGCTTGTTGTTTTGCTCGAGCTAGCTTTAACTCGTTAAGCTTGCAAAATGGGGCCCTTCTCCATGGACTAATGATCCATGGGACGCTTTGGCCAGCCATGATGGGTGGAGATGAGAGGCAGGAGGTCGTGAAATAAATCAAAGAGTACCCATGTCAAGTTGAAAACTTAATTTGGATAAACAGGTTTTACCAAAATAAATCCAATTAGCTTAGATACACTTAGTTTATGTTTGGTCATGTAAACCTGATTGAATGGGTATTACACATTATGTTTGTCCACACAACCGGAGTTATTAGACTCAATGGTGATAAAACTCGTTAGGTCAAGTTCTATACTGCCTCAGCCCTCTCAACTTCAACCCGCCAAGAACATCGTGGCAACGCTGCGCATTACAATATCGGACATAAATGGCAACGTAATGAAAATGGCATGTCTGAATGGTTCACACGTTAAGAATAAAAATGATAACAAGTTCAAATGAAGAACATAAATAAATGGTAATATGTAATGAAAGCAAAAAAAAAAGTTTAAATGGCAACAACTAATTTTTTTTTAGCTCAATGGCAACAACTAAATTAACAACATGCTCACGTGATAAGAATAAAAACGATATCAATTTCAACTAAGAAGAATAAAAAGTATTTTGTTTGATTCTCTTTTGGAACTTATTCGTTGAATAACTTGCAAAAAAAATGAATTATGCCCGTTGTTCCAATCCATTGAATAACATTGGCCACGATTTTGCTACAATAATTTTCAAGAGTTAATCAGCACCTACTATTCCGATTAATATACTGCGTCATAAATTGCAGCATAGTAACCAACATCGATGAAGAAATGGAAGATGCCGATGGAATTGTGCTCGATCTATATCCATTAAGTCACCAATGTCACAGGATAGCTTCTTTCAAGATTTGATTTGAGGGTGGTGGCTAAGGTTAGGCCGGCGTCATTGACTCATTGCCTTGTCGCGAAGAATAGAAAGTGTTTGAGTGCATGGTGGATAATTACCTATGAACTCCATTTGAAACAATGTTTCTGAAGCACTTCTTAGGAACTCCACCAAATCTGTGGGGTTGACTCCTAGATCCTCATTTTTTTTGTGAAGTCAGAATCTGTGGACCGAAGAGTTAGGCTTAGAAGTTGTGGAGTTGAGGTACATTTTGTGTAGTGAAATTCTCGTATGTATTCATCCCGTCCTATAATATAATATAGTGCATTAAGCATTCAAATTTTATACCCAAATATAAATGATTTTAGAGGACAAGAGATAATTTTGCATTAAATAATAGTACATATTTGGTAGATATCATATCGTTACTTGCCATCTATCAGTCAATCTCCACTATGACAACGCCAAATTAGGAAATTAAGGAAGCGTATATATGCCTATAGTATTCTCTTAACTTTATTATGTATTCCCTCCGTCCTCAAATAAATTAATTCATATAATCCGTATTACTCAAACATTTTTAAGTTTGCTTAATTTCATATAATCTATGTCATAAAATGAGTATTTTATAAAAATATATTTTATGATAAATCTAATGATACTAATTTGATACCATAAGTCTTGACGTTTTTTTTTCAAAAATTTTGGTCAAAGTTTAAATGTTTGACCTAAGACAATTATAGAAATATATTTATTCAGAGACAGAGAAGTATCAACTTATTATACAACAAAGCTAAAATATCTTATAATTTAAAATAGATTTGGTACGAGATAAACAGAAAAAGGAAAGTTAGTGGCGATTTCAAACATTGTAGTGGACGGCATAAACAAAAAAGAAGAAGAAGCAAACGGTCTGTTCGCTTGTTGATTTCTGGACTGATAAGCCCGACTGATGCTGATTTATTATAAGAAAAAAATACTATTGATTGGCTGATAAGCCCCGGCCGAGACCACCAAACGGACAGACTAAAAGAGTGAAGACCACCAAATATTTTTTTTTAAGATAAAAATAGAGGTGGACGAGTGCGGATAGCCTGAGCCTGAGGCCACCGCGAAGCTTCTCAGCCACCAGCTGGCGCGCGACTCTCCCTCCGACAGGCGGGACCACCTGTCATGCCCTGGAACCTCAAAGAAAACCCTCCCGAGTCCGGACGCGACGGGAGACCTCCTTCCGTACACGCGGTCCACCGTGGCCCGGAAACTCCCGGCCGTGAATCCAGGTCGTGGCGGGCCCCGCCGACCCAACTAGCGGTCCAGAGGCCTCCACGCGAGCCGTGGTCTAGGGACCGGGCCCGCCCATCTACTTGGTGGCCACGGAAACCCGGACGCGGTAGGAGGGAGCGATAAAAGCGAAGGCAAATGAGGGCATCCCTTCTTCAGCCGCACGCTTCTTGTTGCCAAAGAATTCCCTCCCCCTAGCCGCCGCCGCCGCCGCTCGTCTCGCTGAGAGAAGGTGACGAGACCGAGGAACTCGCCGAGTTCTTGGTAGAGAATCGGTTTTGCTTGTCTCAGCCCGGGGTCTGCTGCGTCGGGTGGTGGTGAAGGGGGGAAATTCGTGAGATCTGTTCCGGATCACGCGTGCGCGCTCGGGAATCGGGGTTCCACACATAGCTTTGTCGATTTGTAAGTTTCTTCTAGTCGATTCCCCTCTTTTTGTCTGCACTGTGTTATAGATTCGAGATTTGTTGGATGTGTTTGTTTATGTTGCTGCCTTTCTAGTTCTCTCGGTGTGAAGGTATGAGGTTGATCTTTAGGAGGTAGCTCGTTTCCTGACCTGGTCGGCGTTAGCCCTGTTGCTTGATGCGTTCGCTGTTCTGATTTTAGATAGGTGGATTGGACATTTGTTCGTTGTATGTATCTTGTTACTTCAAAATTGATGCTAGCCTTTATAAAAAAAATTGATGCTAGCCCTTATAATTGAAAATTGATGGCAGTGGATACGCTTCACACCTTGGATTGAATTTGGAAACAATGGGTAGGAAATATGTGTTCAGATTTGGAAAAATGGATAGGAAATATGTCCTGTATTACCCTGGTACTTGAAAATTTAAAGTAAGGAAATACTATTAACCTTTTTGTATAATTTTGATTCATGGATAAAAACTACGAACTCAGTGAAAAAATGCATATGGTTTCTTGTACGAGTGATATCATGCCATGTGGAAAGTAAATGAAATCATCCAAGGCAGAGTTTTGCTTTTGTACCATCAGATCTGTGATTAAATTTGTTTTCCTAAACAGGTTTATGTTTGGTAATGTGAATGATTTAGATCTTGTTGCTCTAATTGGTTGGAAACATTTATTTTGGCCACCATACCTCTTTAATGGCTTAACTGTGGTATGTTGTGGCGGTTTCTTGTAGCTGTCGCGCCTGGATCATCAACAATTGATCTTGTTTTTGACTTACTGGGAAGAATTTTTGTTGGATTTGATGGATAAACTCACTAATTTGGTCTTGTCCTGCAGGAATTTGATGTACTAATGGAGTCTAAGGGTGGCAAGAAGTCTAGCAGTAGTCATTCCATGATGTATGAAGCTCCCCTTGGCTACAGCATTGAGGACGTTCGACCTGCCGGAGGCGTGAAGAAGTTCCAGTCTGCTGCTTACTCCAACGTAAAAATCAATCATCACAATGGCCCTCTTCATTCTACTACTTGTTTTATTATTAGAGATGGTGCTAATAGCATCAATTTTTTCTTGTGTTGCAGTGCGCAAAGAGGCCATCCTGATATCCCTTTTGGCTTCCTCGTTCTAGTAGTTTAGGATTTCTTTTCTGACACCTTGATTCTGACCAATCCCTCTGGGCTCTGGCCTGCTGCTTCCTGGTAATCGACCAGTTCCCCAGTCTTGCTCCCTGCACTCCTCCCTCCTCCATCTCCAGCATTGTGTTCTGATTCACCTGCTCCAATGGCTGTTCTTTCTGCTGCTGATGCTCCCCCGGTCTCAACTATCGGGTTTGAGGGCTATGAGAAGCGCCTTGAGATCACATTCTCTGAGGCACCTGTCTTTGTTGACCCTCATGGGCGTGGTTTGCGTGCCCTCTCCAGGGCCCAGATTGACTCTGTTCTGGATCTTGCACGGTGCACAATTGTGTCCGAGCTCTCCAACAAGGATTTTGATTCCTATGTTCTCTCTGAGTCAAGCTTGTTTATCTATCCTCTGAAGATTGTGATCAAGACCTGTGGCACTACCAAGCTCCTGCTCACCATTCCAAGGATCCTTGAGCTTGCTGAAGAGCTGTCTATGCCGCTTGCTGCTGTGAAGTACTCCCGTGGGACGTTCATCTTTCCTGGCGCACAGCCAGCCCCCCACAGGAGCTTCTCTGAGGAAGTTGCTGTACTTAACCGCTACTTTGGTGGCCTGAAATCTGGTGGTAATGCTTATGTGATTGGAGATCCAGCAAGACCTGGACAGAAGTGGCACATCTACTATGCCACTGAGTACCCAGAGCAACCAATGGTTAACCTTGAGATGTGCATGACTGGTCTGGACAAGAAGAAAGCTTCAGTCTTTTTCAAGACTAATGCTGATGGTAACACAACATGTGCCAAGGAAATGACGAAGCTCTCTGGTATCTCTGAAATTATCCCTGAGATGGAGATCTGTGATTTTGACTTTGAACCCTGTGGCTACTCCATGAATGCGATCCATGGCTCTGCATTCTCGACAATCCATGTGACGCCTGAGGATGGTTTCAGCTATGCCAGCTACGAGGTTATGGGTTTCGATGCCACTGCTCTGTCTTATGGTGACCTTGTCAAGAGGGTCCTTGGGTGCTTTGGCCCCTCGGAATTTTCTGTTGCTGTGACCATCTTCGGTGGGCGTGGCCAAGCTGGGACATGGGGAAAGCAACTTGGTGCAGAGGTTTATGACTGCAACAACATGGTGGAGCAGGAGCTGCCTGGAGGCGGACTCCTCATCTACCAGAGCTTTTGTGCTGCTGAAGGCGCTGTTGCTAGCTCGCCTAAATCTGTTCTACACTGCTTTGAAGGCGAAAACATGGAGAATGCTCCTCCTGTGAAGGACCGCAAATGGGCTAATCTTCTCTGCTGGGAGGAATTGGATGCCGTGGAGGAGAAGGATGGAGTGCTTGATGAGTAAGACGGGCTTCTGGTGTCGATTTGCTTCTGAGTTGTTTTTTTTATATCGTTGCAATTTCGTTGTTGTCGTTTGGTTATTCTGTGAAGCAGCCAAGCCAGTCTATCAGTGTGAAAAATGTCTGTATGCATGTGCTTCTATGTTGCCACATGCTGAATCAATTTAAATTTGAATAAGTATACAGCTCTAGGTGGTCAGCTGCGTCTACCACAATGAGCATATATGTATGGGGAAATGTCTCAAAGCATTTTATTTATATGAATAAGAATTGTTTTCGAGTTAAGTGATTCGTTTTCGTAAGTGTGAAGTTTCATTGTTTATTATTGATCATATTTCTTTCCAGGTCATCATTAGTGGACGGGCATGTTTCGCGCGATTTCAATCTGTTGCTAGCGTCGTCCCATGCTGTGTTTACATTATTCTAAATTTTCTAATTCTATATTCTATATATGCAAGATATCTGTCTTGAGGTTTGGGAATATGAAAACCATGCTACGGTTCTGTTCTCCATTCTTGTATGCTGACGAGGGCGATTGCCTAACCTCAATTATTTGATGCGGTAGGCGATAAACCTTTGCCTGTTTGCTTGGCTGATAAGCTATAGTTAAAAATATTGTTGATTGATTTGTTGTAAGAGAAAAATACTGTTTGTTAACTTAAAAAAAATATGATTTATAAGCCAAGCGAACGGAACGCTTTTCCATCCTCTAGAGCCGAACAGGTCGACGGCTCTTGCAACGCTGGAGTCAGTGGGTGAGGTTCCTCGTCAGTCATCAACTCGTCTTCATCAAACGAGAAGCATCTCATGCGCCTTGCTTAGTTTCTTTCCTGTTTACTCCTCTCTCTTATCGAATATCTAGACATATGTATGGAGTATTAAATATAGATTTAAAAATAACTAATTGCATAACTTACGACTAATTTACGAGACGGATCTTTTAAACTTAATTAATCTATTATTTGACAATGTGCTGCTACAGTAACACATGCGTTAATGATGGATTAATTAGGCTTAATAAATTCGTCTCTTAAATTACAATTAATTTTTTTATAAATATCCAAACACCCTATACACACACACGTGATACCTTAAAACTTTTCGCTCTGAATTTATACAAGGCCTCGTTCTGTTTCGTTTATGCTGCTAACTAAAGTAGATGGATACTGTAGGCTGCTGCTTCTCGCTGCTTCGCCGAACCAGCCAACGAGGGTTAAGCTCAGATCGTGATTTCTTCGTCAATAGAGTTTTGATTTGCGCTATTGCTTAGAAAAAAAAAATACCCACATGCCAGATCCATCCAACCAGACGGGAGGAATATGCTCTCGTGGTAGCAGTTGCGTACCGCCCTACTGCGTGGGTGAATAGCCAATGCCGTCCATATCTTTGCTTCCAGACAGATGGAGATAGCAGGTTCCTTCCAAACGAATCGGTTCCATCCGCCTCTTTGTTTGGCCGTCCATCCATAGCACTGCGAAATGATGGGACGACCGAACCTGACCCCATCCGATATCACCGACGAACACGAACACCATTCCCAGTAGCCAGTATTTCTTCGCCGGATCTAGCTCCCCGTTGGCCGCCAGCCAGCCACCCGTTTGCTAAAGCCGAGAATCTCGTCCCTGGATGCATTTGGGTTTCAGGGAAGCTAGAAACTTTTGCTTAGCAAGGCTAAGAAGAGCATATCTATATAGAAGCTAACTTTCGGAGGCAAGTCCGCTTGCAACGGCGATAAAATTCTCGCAATCGGCGGTGAGCCGAATAGTCTGGCTCTCAGCGGCAAGACGCCCCTTGCTGCCTGAAGCAAAATGCGTAACCGTTTAAACTCGCTCCAACAGCAGCACGTTCTAAGTTCATGAGCAAAAAATCTGGCCACTAACCAAACAATCATCAGCTAATAAGGCAAATCTGGTATAAGCCCCACTGAGTTTTTTTTTTTGAGCAAGCCCCACTGAGGTGCTGTAGCTTATTTGCCCAACCGGGTGATGAATCTGGCCACTAATCCCGGGGGCGCGCGCGTGTCCATTCCGAATCCTGATCGGCGACGCCCCTGCTCTCGGTCCCGTGCACCACCCAGAAGGCCCGAACCTCTCGGCCCGACACCGCGAAAGAAGAGAGCACGGGCTCGTGTTCGTGTCGCTTCTCCCCTGGGCCCTGTCCAGTACCTGTTGTGCTCGTGCCGTCTCCCATGCGCATTCTGGGGAATGAAATTCGCATTGGCATCTCCAGGTGCGCTAGCCTGCTGAACGCTAGTAGAACCCGGCCAAATTAAAGTTTGCACTAGGGAAGCCTCTAGCTTTTGCTATGAACAGAAAATGTGAATAAATAGCTTTTGCTATGAGCAAAAAATGTCAAAGAAAAATGAAGACATTATAGTTCACGATCAAAGGTATTTAGCTAGAAGATAGTATGTCATGACACATAGATGGTTTATCATTAATTGAAAAGTTCTTATAGTGGTCATTAAGAGTAATATTAAAAATTGAAAATTTCTTATTCCATCGTTTCTAGAAACTCCTTGGGTCCATCCTCCACATGTCAATAACCCTAATCCAAATCCGATAGGACAACCCTGTCCTTACGTCCTCCGTGTCCCGTATGTGCGACCCAGACTTACGATCTGGCTCATACGGGAACTGTTTCAGATTTGATGAAGGAATGTGCTTAGGCGATTCCATGGTGGCAGCACGGTCTTAACCAATCGGAGTGGATGTTGACTATGGGAACCTGACTAGTGGACAATCAGGGTGTGGTTTACATGGTCGAGATGCTTGGTAGGGTCTCGTCTCTTTTTAATCATAGGTTCTGGCTTTTGACATGGGGCCCACATTAAAGGGATGAAAACAAATAGGATTAGTTGGGATAAACCATAAACCCTCTTTCATTTCCATTTTTACAGTTATTATGAAAACAAAATCGAAATCAAGAAGGTTGAAAATAGGAATGAAAGTATGATTCACTTGAAACAAAAAAATATATTTCGAACAGAAACATGTCGATGACGGTCGAGATAAAAAAAAGATATAAGGGAAATGCCAACACATAGAACCAAAAAATATGACTTTACATGCTGACCTAACAAACTTGACATGGTAACACTATCAACACAAATAATTCTACTTCGTATTGTAAGGTTTATAAGATGACAAGAATATAAGAGTGCAAGACTATAAGTCCATAATACAACAACCTAACCACCGGCCCACAATAGACGGGGTTAATACGTTGACAAATGGCCGACCATGCTGCATTATTGCATTTCCTAAAACAAGATATCCTGTATGGGTAAAAATGGACTATCCTAGCAAAAAAAAAAGTGAAAAAGGTAAAAAAAAACTTGTATCATTTTTGTCCTTTTCATTTTTTTAAGAAAAAGAAAATTTCAAAAAAATTGTCGAAACGACTGTCAATATGAATCTGAGCGCATTAAATGTAGAAATCAAGATTGAATTAATGGGATTTATCCAGACCTTTTCACCCCTACTCAAATGTACACATAAGAACACCAATTTGCACAAAGTAGCCGGTATTGAATCATCTCCAACAATTTTTGGTCAATTTAGTCAACAACTTAAGGAGGGAACGTGGGGTTTTAATTATAGGGTACAACTTTTAACGTAGGACCTACACACA